TCTCCCTGCTATAGGAAAGATGTTGTGAAACTTGAAAGAGTGCAAAAGAGATATACAAGGATGTTGCCAGTGTTAGAGAGTTTGAGTTATATGCAAAGGTTGAATAAGCTGGAGCTATGTTCCCTGGAGCATCAGAGGCTGAGGGGTGACCTTACAGATGTTTATAAAATCGTGAGGGGCATGGTTAGGTGAATAGTCAAAACCTTTCCCCCAGGGTAGTGGAGTTCAAAACTAGATGGCATAGGTTTAAGGTGAGAGGAAAAAGATTTAAAAGGGACCTAAGGGGCAACTTTTTACACAGAGGGCAGTGTGTTTATGGAACGAGCTGCCAGAGGAAGTGGTGGAGGCTGGTACAATTACAACGTTTAAAAGGCATATGGATGGGTATATGAATAGGAAATGTTTAGAGGGATATGGACCAAATGCTGGCAAATGGGACTAGATTAATTTAGGATATCTAGTTAACATGGATGAGTTGGACTGTCGGGTCTGTTTCCATGCTGTATGTCTCTATGACTCTATGGTAATAAATAGCAGAACATGACAAATCCAATCCATCGAATTAGCACTCGATTGGTCTACTCCCAATCATCTGTAAAATGATTGATCAACATTACTATCAAGCAGAATTTACTTCACAATAACCTGCTCATCAATGCTCCATTTCGATTTCACCATGGCCAAACCTCATTCCAGTCTTGCTGCAAACATGGAAAAGGAAGAGAAGTTCTAGAAATGAGGTGAGAGTGGCTGCCCTTGATGTCAAAGCAGTGTTTGGCTGGGTGTGGTATCAAGGAGCCCTAACAAAGTTGACATTAAATGGAACCAACGGGAAAATTTTCCAATGGCTGGAGTTATCCTGAGTACAAGAGAAGATCGTTAATAATCTCAGCCCCAGAAAATCATTGCACAAGTTCCTCAAGGTAGCATCCAACCATCTTCATGTACTTCAAACCATTCCCTCCACTGGAATGTCAGACATAGGGGATGTTTGCTAATAATTGCAGTGTTCATTTCTATCCACAATTCATCAGATACTGAACCTGCTTGCATTTATGTGGGTTGTTAGACTGGACCCTTTATCAATATGCAAGGAAACATGCTTGTTGCATATAGATAAGGAGCAGACAGAGGCCTATTAGTCTTTCAAGACTCCTCCATCGTTCAATAGATCTGTTTGTTTTCTGCATTCCACATTTCCATCTCTCTCCAATAACCTTTGATTCCCCTCTGTAACAAGAATCTATCTACCTCAGCCTTAAAAGATCTCATGACACCACCCCTCCCCCCCAACCTTTCAAGTCAGAAGGTTTGAGGAAAAAGACTCCTCTCATCTCTGCCCTAAAAAGGTAACCCCTAATTTTAAAAAAGTGTCCCCTAGTTCTGGACTCACCCACAAGAGTAAACATCCGTCCCACATCCATTTTAGCAAGACAGACCATTCAGGATCTTATTGACTTCAGTCAAATCATCCCTCACTCTTCTAAATTCCAGTAAAACCATATCCAGTCTGTCCCATCTTTCCTCAGAAAACAACCTGTTTATTCTAGGTATCAATCTAGTAGACTTACTCTGAACTACATCCAATACATTTACATCTTTCCTCAAATAAGGAGCCCAAAACTGCACACGGTATTTGAGATGTAGTCTCTTCAACACCCTGTACAGCTGAAGCTTTTTGAATGTGTGTGGGCATTGAATTTACAATTTACATTTGGAAACCAGTGTGGAATCATTGAATTGCTGGACTGAACTGTTTCCCTCAGCTTGTAAGTTCCTACAAGCACAGTTTTTCTAATGATTTTTATGATGAAAGCATTTTGAAAATTGAACAAATCATTCAGTATTTCAAAGAAGATGAAGCATTTATCAGTCTGAAATATGTGGAGTACTGTTACCAGCTTCAGCTAGTTGAATTACATTAATAATTCAGTTCTGAGAAATATCAGTATATCTGATACTGATGCAAGATTAATTAAATCTGAATTATGCTTAGTCCAAATTAATAAATCTCAGTCATTCACTGAGAAAGACGGCTAAAAACAAAGTGAAGATGTAGAAAGGTTTTTGAGAAAGTTTAATGAAGCAAAATAAAAATTTGAAGAAAAATGACTACAATCTCCACACCCTGAATTGTAAATTTTTCCATTTTATACCTTAAAGTAAATCAAAATGGTTCAGAACTAAAATAATGTAAATTTAAGAGGTGGTATCACTTTTTATTGGTCTGTTCAGAATCTGTAGTAATTGAAAAGCTAAAGAATTGAATATATTCAATTTAATCATGTATGTGGTCCATAAATGTATTCTGTGCACAGACTTGTAATCAAATGCTCAACTCCCATTCAGAGCAACTCAGTTCAAATCCCTTTCAATTGGCAATCAAGCCAGCTTTGTTCTGGTTGTCAACAGACTTCTTTCTCCCTTTTGCCTGGGAAGAGGACATTGAAAAGAAGATCATTTCCCCTCCTCCCCCTCCTGCTATTCACTGATAATGGCATGACACTGATGGTCAACACGGAGAGCTGTGCAGACTTTATCAATCCATTTATTAAATATAATTTCAGATGGTAAAGTTTGTGCATGAGAGCTCCTGTACAACTTCAACTTAAACAGCAACAGAATATTGACCTTGAATTCTCTTACGCAATCTGGCCTGTGTTTTAAAATGGTCGGCTTTGATATACAATTTTGGTCAAGGAAAAGTACAGATATATTTAGAGTGATTTTGACATTAAGACAAAATACCAACTGGAGGATCTTATGAAAGTAATGGAAGGATCACATTAGGTCAAGTAAAGTTTTGATGAAAGTAAAATGACTGTCATATACAATGTCAATTCCATTTCAGCTCTAACTAGGATAAATGAATACCACTTTCACTTTTCTTAATGCTGTTATTAAAATGTTGATGAAACTGTAGGTTTGGCGCCATTACTTTCTAAGATGTTTTTGAGGGGGCGTTTACAGTACAGTTGTTTTTTTCAAATCAGACTTAACATTGATGAAAATAATATCTTAAACAGACGCAATTGGTGTCTTTTGCAGCTGTTACGTTTGCATTATAGACTCTGATTCAGTACAAGTTCTTGAAACAATTTAATGCTTAAAAAGGATAACCATTCATTTTATAATAGAAACAATTCCAGGGAAAAACATCTTTTTAACATAATGATGTACCAAATTTTCAACAGATAATTTACTTTGTCACAAATCATACATTTAAATCATTCTGAAAGCGTTTGGGTTCCAGACTAGCTTATGTTGCGGAAACAAGGAGTCTATCTTTGCTAACTGTATGAATCATGCAGGAAATCAGTTTGACCAATCCTAATGGCATCATGTCTACCTCATAAAGGAGCTGACAATTTGAATGAACCATCTGTAAGTTAATAATCAATGAGAGACAGCCACTCTGGTCTTAAATTGATCCCATATCACATCTGAGCAATTGTGGTTGTTAGTGGTGTAAAGTTTTATGACTGGAGCAGCAGCACACATTATTAGGGAGATCTCTGGAACACTTCAAATGCTGTGTTTGCAACTCAACCCACCAGGTAGGTAGTTAAGATCACCCATGGGAATTAGTAGTCACGCATCCATTCTCTTCCTGTAGATTCTGGTTTTGTACCTGCTTTTCTGAGCAGAACAGATGGATGCCCAACTGCAGAGTCCTCTTTTATACATGTTGCATTCTGAAGATAATTTAACCTGAGGCTTGTGCAGGAAATTGATTGTAGCTTTTCTACCAGGCTAACCTAACAACAAGACAAGTTGAAGTCAGATAAGGCCCAAAAAAGGTGTGTTACCTTTTAAACTTGCGTTGTAAAGTTAAGTGTAGAAGGACTGTTCTTTCAGGTTCCACAAGGAAATTTAGAGTTAAAATGACCCGTGGTTCATGTACTGATATTTGGTCAGTTTGTTGCTTGCCTCAAGCCCCACTCACCTAACCCTTGCCCTGTGTTAAAATCAGAACAACCATATCCATCCAAAACATTAGCTCAGAATATCAGTGACAAAGCTTCTTGTGCTGGGAGAACCCTCTGCAAGAGAGTGGTGTCATTTGATGTTTTTTATTCTGCATTTGTGCAGAAGCTCATATTTAATCACTGCTGAACTTGGGTTGACAAATCATAGAGGAAGTATTTAATTAACTACTGGTACTCCAGTAATGTCTCCTTTTTTGTCTGTGCTGCCAGTAACAGTAATCAACTGCAAATGATACCTGGCCATATTACATTATTCTTTTCTGGAACTTGACCAACAAGAAGAAAATAATCCCAGCAGATCTGGGGGTGGGTGTTGTGAGAAATAGGTGTAATAATGTGTATTAGGTAAAATGGCTATATAAGTCTATAATGAATGTAAGTACACCAGACATGTCATATTTATGTAGTCAGAAGGTCATTTCTGACATCGGGGTTAAATCATAATACTGAACTAGTACGGCATTAGCTCTAGTTTGCCTCCGGCCATATTGTACCTGGCCTGAGAATCCTTTACATAGCATTTTCCACTGACATCCCTCAATGTCATGTGGACAAAACTGGCCAAAAATTTGTAAAGGTAAATTTTACCAGTACGTAATGGAAAATTAGATTTTTGTTGCCTTTAGCCAGTGTCCTCAACACAAAAAAATGCTAAACACATTCCATGTATGAAACATATAGTTTTCTCCAAGCAATATTAATTTTCATGCATTGCTGTTTTACAGGAGTTGTTTGAATCTGTCTTCTCCCATCTTCTTGTAATCAAAACCGTAAAATGAACATTTGTTCTCAGTACTAAGAGCAGAAAAATGGACATGCTGAGAAATATGAGAGATTAAAGGCTAGTTCAGTAAATGTGCAAAGACAGAGCTGTAACATCGATGTTGAAAGTTAGGTTGAACATTACCGGAGAATGTATAGGAAGGAATCTGTTTTTATTTGTGTCTGTGATGCTGATTGATCAGATTCAGTTTCTGCCGATTACAGTTTCACCATTTCTTTGTATTTCAGTTTATGTCCCAGATGAAGACTTGAAGACAGGAGAACTGAGAGAAAGAGAAGATGCCAGTCCTTCTGCTGCAGAATTACAAGGTAATGGTTACATGTGCACTGAGGAGGAAGAGGAGGAGGAAGAAGAAAGCAAAGGCAGTTACAGCTACCAGAATTCTCCAGTCAGTGCAATGTCCAATCCGGATGCAGAGTGTGAATCGCACCTCAGTGATACCAGTGACAGATTGGCTGATTTTAAAAGTATTTCTTCCCGGGATGGACAGGAAAAGGAAGAGCAATCAAATGGAGAGATAAAGAATGGCCAACAGAACAGTTTAGGAGCAATGAGAGCTGTTTATGCTAGCTTTCTGTCTGATTCATATTGGTCAAGTCTGGGATTTGACCTCAAACAATCAAAGACTGAAAGGACAAGCTGCAAAAGCAGCAACGAAAGCACCAAAAGTAGTTTTGATTGGCACCAAGATGCGTTATCCAAAACATTTCAACAGACATCCTCTGGTAGGCCAGTGCCGAAACCAAATCTTTTCAGTTCAGTACAGTTGTACAGGCAAAATAACAAGTTGTTTGGGACTGTTTTCACAGGTGCCAGTAGGTTTCGCTGCAGAGAATGTAGTGCAGCATATGACACTTTGGTAGAGTTAACTGTACACATGAATGATACAGGACATTACCAAGACGATAATCACGAAAAGGATGTGGACCACAACAGCAGTTGGACAAAGTCACGAAAACGGGCTTTGCAGGACATTGATGGGATGCACGATGCCCAGAAAGTTTTAAAGTGTATGTACTGCGGACATTCATTTGATTCCCTCCAAGATTTGAGTGTTCATATGATTAAAACAAAACATTACCAGAAAGTGCCTCTGAAGGAACCTATGCCTCCTATTGGATCAAAGTTAGTCCCTCCGACAAAAAAACGAGCCCAGCATGAAGTTAACCAGCCTTGTTCACCAGATTCAACAACTGGAGTTGCAGGTACTTTTGCAGGTGAAGCACAAAAGAATTCAAATCCCTATGTGTCCTCTAACAATCGCTATGGTTATCAAAACGGTGCCAGCTATACCTGGCAGTTCGAAGCCTGTAAGTCTCAAATTCTGAAGTGCATGGAATGTGGAAGCTCACATGATACACTACAGCAGCTCACAGCTCATATGATGGTAACGGGGCACTTTCTTAAGGTAACAAACTCTGCGTCAAAGAAGGGAAAACAGATTGTTTTTGACCCTTTGGCTGTCGACAAAGCACAGTCAGTTACTGAAGGACCATCAAATGAAATCCAACTTTTGGCACCAGTCAGCAAATTGCCTCCAGATTCATTAACACCCTCAGTTTCAGAAGATAACAAAACCCATGAAGAAAAGCAAGAAATGTCAGAAGACTTGGAAAAACAGCATAAAGATAAAGATGATTGCAAAGATGATAACCTGGAGAAGATCTTTGATCCATCGCTTCAGTATCAGTACATACGGGAAGAAGATCTAGAAGAGAGCTCAAAGGGAGGTGGTGATATTCTTAAATCCCTTGAAAACACTGTTACTTCAGCCATCAACAAAGCCCAAACTGGGAGCCCAAGCTGGAGTGCTTATCCCAGCATTCATGCTGCCTATCAGCTCCCCGGTATTATTAAACCTGTGCAACTTGGTACTCAAATATTACAAGTTAAGCCAAACCTGAAACCAATAGCTCCAAAAGTCAGATATTTCTCTGTTATTACAAGTAACCAAAACCAACCCCTTCAATCCAACAGTGACCAAATTAAAGAAGAGCCTATTAGTCCATCTCATGAACAACTTTCATCCAAATTGGAAGAAAGCAATATTGAGAAAAAGGATCCAACATTAAATCTTCAATCTGGGGTAATTTCACCATGTAAGATGGAAACTGAGAGCCCAATAAAAACAGAAACTCTGCCTGATCAGCCAAGGACGCATTCACCTTGTTTGAAAGATGATGAAGAAGCAAAAGAAAGGTTCAAGAAAGAGCCTGTAAAAAATGACACGGGATCTCCAAATTTTTCAATGACCAATGGTTGCTCTGGAATGACTGTTATCACAGACCATCCATCTGAACAACTTTCTGTCAGTCCACTTAGTGCATTGCAGTCTATCATGAACACTCATCTTGGCAAAGCTGCCAAGCCCCTTAATTCAAACTCAGACCCAGTAACTATGTTATGTCGACTCAATAAAAGTTTGCTGGAGAAATCAACTTCGCCGCCAAGTTTAGTCAAACCGTCTAGTCTTGCTGATCGATATTACTATGAAAGTAGTGATCAGCCAATAGATCTCACAAAATCTAAGAGTGACAAAGCTGCCCAATCAAACCCGGTCAAATCCTTTACTTCATTACCTTCCAAACATGCTTTATCTGATATTGCAGACATGGTAAAAGTCCTCCCTAAAGGCACAACACCAAAACCTTCTACCTCATCAAAGATAACAGCAGAGAGGTTAGAGACTGATGTGAGGAGCTTCGAAGACGTGTCAATGGAATTTTTACCAGTTCAGAAAAGAAAAGGTAGGCAGTCAAACTGGAATCCCCAGCATCTTCTCATTCTGCAGGCCCAGTTTGCTGCCAGCCTTTGGCAAACAGGTGAAGGCAAATATCTATTATCAGACCTAGGTCCACAAGACCGCATGCATATTTCAAAGTTTACTGGACTCACCATGACTACCATAAGTCATTGGCTTGCCAATGTGAAATATCAACTAAGAAAGACAGGTGGAACAAAATTCCTGAAGAACTTAGACACAGGGCACCCAATTTTCTACTGCAACGATTGTGCCTCCCAGTTTAGGACTCCTTCCACTTATATTGGTCATTTAGAATCCCATTTGGGCTTCACTATGAAAGATATGGCAAAAATTTCTGTACAGCATGCCAGAGGAGAGCAAGAAGTCTCAAAAGTGACATCTGAGAAGTCAGCAGGGCCATTGGTAACAGATGAGGACACAGGCAGCAAGTTCCAGTGTAATCTGTGTAATCGAACTTTTGCTAGCAAGCACGCAGTAAAACTTCACCTCAGCAAAACGCATGGCAAGTCACCAGAGAATCATTCGCAGTATGTAACTGAATTAGAGGAAGAGTAACAACTCAAGGTGAGCATCAAGACTCTTTCTGTATCATTCAAAGTAATTCAGTTTTAAAGTATTGGGAAGGTGAGTCACTGTAAATTATATTAAACGGTATTCCTGAGAAGTGTTGTGATTAAGTTTAAAAAGTCCTTTGTAAAAATTCTTTCTTGTTTCTAATGGATAATATTTTGGATAACTATTCATACAGCAAGATAATTTTAATCCTAAATCTAAGGCCATCGTTTTAATTGAACAAAGTTTAATGCATTTCTTTGGATAAGGAAGTAATATGCCTCAGACATTTGTGGCATTGTGTTATTTCATGAGATTTGTTTTTTGTTCAGTTAGTGTAATTGAAATTTCTTGACAACAAGAAGGACACTCTATCAGGTCTCTGCTGAGGAGAACAATTGTACCTGCTATTTAAAATGGGCCATTACTGAAACTTCTTGAGCATCTTCCTGGTTGTTCGCACACTTAATTATTCAAGTGTGTCTGAAATATTGAAAATATGCAGATTTGTATTTGAAATAGTTGGGATAGTTGATGCAGAATGGTCTGGTAATGGACCAGAAGGAAACCTATTTCACACAAGTGTCTATTGTTCTTAGTTTTTAACTTCAGTAAGAAAGAGAAATGAGCATTGTGTAAAACAAGTTGCTGATTCATTATTGGCCTATTTTTTTCACTACTGGTGTTAGCTGTTCCCATCCACAGTATGTTTTGGCTCTGCACAGAGCTTTTCAGAATCAGTTTAAAAGCTACAGATACAACACGATTATCTCAAAATCTTGCACTTTTCTATTTCATGCCTTTATTGCATAAAGATTCTTGATGACAATAAGTGTATTGGTTTGAATGGGTATAATGTTTGTCTCTTAATATAATTCTGATGCACAGAAATGAAATTGAACCTTGATTATTGAAGCTGTGGTATTTTTTTGGGACGTAAGCACATTCAATGTTATCCTTGGTAAACAATAATCTATTGATAAAGTGCTATTTTGTTTGACCTATTTTAAGAGAATGATGGAAATAACAGTGCATTGAATATTAATGAAATTATGTTAAATTGTATTTTGTGAAACTGTACAAGTACATTAAATATATTTACCATTTTAAACCCAACCTAACAGTTGACTGTACACTAAGCCCTTTTCACACTCAAAACTGTATTATAGAAAAGTCTCAGAATTTTGCACTGGATGCTTTAATGGTTGGCGAAATAAAATAGCCTTTTTTTCTTTTAGAGGGAAAAGTCTGCAGAGTTTGATATGTAAATAAGGTTTGTCACAAAGATTATAACTTCACTTGAAAAATCAAAATGTGTCCAACTATCTGTTGCATTATAATAACTAGTTCCAGCTTATCATGTGATCCAATAAGTGTAATACCAGGTTTCTCCTTCAGTATTTTATTCAAAACCTGTGAAAAACAGATTGAATCTAAACCCAAAGTAATTCAAATTTGTCCATTCTGAGTTCTTTGGAATTCTGCCTAGTTCTGATTACTTTGGGAGGGAATTACCTTGCCTTATCCGTTAGAAGAGTGAAATTGTCCCATAGTCCAGGTACATTGCATTTTGTTGCATGGCTGGATGGTGATAGATGGTAACCAAGTAACCGCCACCTACCATTGAAGTGATAAGAGGTGAGGTAAGTTTTCAACTATACCACTTATCTTTACCTTCAGTTCTTTGTGACAGAGAAGAAGGGTTTTAAACTACTGGCAATCTTATTCAATGAAGTTCCACCTGTGATTTTGTTGGAAGTATTTGTGCATTTATCCTTGTGACTATCATTGAGCTGCGAGTGTGACTGTGACAGTGGTGCAGTGTGAACCAACTTGTTTTGACTTAGAATCAATATTCTCCAGTAATTGTTCTTGGTTGAGGGGAAAAGAGTTTGACTCTTGACCGTAAAATTCCAGATAAATTTTGACTGTGTACGTTCTGGAGAAAGTTTAATCATTCATTTTCTGCAAGTTTGTCTTTGCGTTCCCCAGCTGTGTCACAAGGACCAGTCCTTACTAACTTGCGGTGTAATTGGGACTCTTGCCAGTCAGCCAGAAAAGATTGTCACACTCAATATTACCCATAAATTAGAAAATTTGTGTTTGAAATCAAAGACTAATGTTCACCCCAAGGTTTTAGGCTGCAGAATGAGTGCACTATTTAGTTGAAACAATAAAAAAGTAGAAGAGAAAAGACTAAGTTATGGATTGATTAACAGACTCCATATTTAGAATAAAGAAGCATTTTAGTTTTATATTTTCTGAATGAGGGGACAATAAGCAATGCATGATTGTTGTGTAGGACTGCTAGTGCACTGAAGACATTTAAAATGTAGGATCTGTGTCAATACCTGCATCTTGTAGTCACAACAAAAAGGCAGTCACATATGGTAATTACACTGGGTGGGCTACAAACAGAAGAAAAGCCACAGTTGTTTACAGCTGTTTATCAGTTCGATACTACACTCTCATAATTTGACTGTTAACGCTAATAATATATTCTATTATAAACCCCAACATCAAAAAGTTAAGTTCGATCAATTATAGTTTTAGAACATTAAACTGTAAAATTGTTAATACTTCAAGTTGCCTTGATGCAAGGAAGAAAGCCACTTGCATTTAAATTTTATTCAAGCTGAGGGTATTGCATTTAATTTCCTTTCACAAAATCCAACTAGTTCAAGAATATATTTCGGGGGTGGGGGGATAACATACTATCCCTATCCAATCTTGACCTGAATCATAAACTGTACAATTGACTCATCAGTTTGTGAAGTGAGCTATCATGCCATTCATTTATATAAATAACTTCTGCAAAGCACTCTGTGTTAAGCATCATTTTTGGGAGCTCTATGATGACAAGGACAGCAGTGGTTCAAGCAAAAGACCTACTGCCACCTTCTCAGGGAAATTAATGATGATCAGTAAGAGTGAATTTTGTAGAATGCTGGAGATCCATGAATTCTTGGAAAAAATGGTGGAAGTCATGTTTTACTCAAATTTCTGCTCCCAAAATGACAACGCCAAAAGCTTGTATTTACATCGAGCCTTTATATTAAAATGTTCCCAGATGCTTGAAAGAAAAACTTAGCTTGATAAATTAACACCCAGTCACATAAAGGAATCTTAGGATTGATGAGCAAAAGCTTCCTCAAAGAAGGAAGCTTGAAGGAATGTTTTGAAGAAAAGAAGAAGCAAAGGCTTAGGGATGGAATCCCAGAACCTGAACTCTCTTGAGCTGAAAGCATGTGGAGGACATTCATCCAGTGCTACATGTCACATGAGCTGTGTAAAAACGAAGGCTTAATTAAAATCAGGGGTGCACAAGCGAAGGCAGTGATGATAATGACATTGGACAAGTAATCCAGAGACCTGAGCACTTGCTGTGGGGTCCGGGTTTGAATTCCACCATAGCAGGTGATGGAGTACAGCAAAGCATCATCATTGTATATATAGTAGCAACATGTTCTCCGAAGATGTCTGCAAGGGACAGCATGATTAGTAGAATAAAAAAGTATAAGGATAGATCCTGAGAGATTTCCAGAGGCAATATTGAGAGTGAGGGGGAAAAGTCATTGCAGATGATTCTCTGGTCCAGACAAAATAGATGAGATAGAAACAAGTGAATCAGGTGGATGATGGAGGAGGTTAGTGTGATCAACCATATCAAAGGCTGCTGACACATTGAGGAGGAAAAGGAGAAATAGCTTACGGTCACAGTCACATAGATTGTCACTTGTGACTCTGATAAAAGCTGTTGCAGAACTGTGGCAGCAGTGGAAACTTGACTGAAAGATTTTAACCTTGACGTTTCAGGGAAAGATTTGCATGGATTTAGGAGGCAACAGCATATTCTCAAACTTTAGAGAATCAATGGTTTTCAAGGACAAATGGGTCAAGGGTGGTTTTGTGAGGAGTAAAATGATGATTGCAAATTAAGGGCAGTACCCAATGAGAAAAAAGCATTAACAATATCAGCTAACATATGATCACAGAAGGGAGGTGGAGGAGTCATGGTGATGTGGTGAGGTAAGTAACCAGAACCTCAGGCTAGTGTTCCAGGAACACGCATTTAAATCACACCGTGGTAAATGGTGGAATTGGAAAAAAGTAGAAATCTGGAATTAAAACCTTGTCTAATGTTAACTATGTCACTACTGCCAATTGTCATAGAAACCCATCTGGTTCACTAATATCCTTCCTTTAGGGAAAGAAATACTCCAAACCTACCTAGTCTGGTCTACATGTGATTCCAGACCCTCAGCAATATGTCTAACAACTCTTATACTGTCTTCTGGGCAATTAGGGATGGACAATAAATGCCAGCTGAGCCATCAACATCCACATCCCATTAATGAACTTTTAAAAAGGTATCTCATAGAATTTGGATGAGGGAACAGAGAGAAACAGAGTTGAGGAAGAGTCATCAGACTCCAACATTAACTGTGTTTCTGTCTCCACATATGCTGCCAGACTTACTCAGTTTCAATAGCATTCTCTGTTTTTGGTTCAGATTTCCAGCACCCACAGTATTTTGCATTTATTTGAGGGAACAGAAGGCATATATTGTGGACAAGATGAGCTCAGAAAGAGCTTGAGGGATTAGGAGAATAACCAGAGAAAGATGCAAATTCATAACCGTTAAGAAAGATGAAATTCTTCCATTTGTTCATGCAATTACTGACGTTGACATCATAGTGGCAAAAATGTAGTGAGATGAATGATAAAGTAATGTATTTTTCATCATAGATCTGATATTTTTATTGCACATTGTTTATCGCTGTGATATCACAGGAGTTGCTGAACAGTTGCACTCTATTTTCCTTCGTAATTGGACGTCTTTCCAGGAATAGAGAATTTTCTCCATGATCTAGCAGAAGTTGGGCAGCCTGTAGAACTGTGAGACTACAGCTTTGGACTTGTTGTCCAAACACTGCAATGAGAATATGCAGTACAAGGCTTACCTACATGCAATTCAAAATGAACCCACAATACAACACATTATGCTGGCT